TTCAATAGCACTAGGGGTTATTTAATTACACTTTTGCAGCAAGTATTATGTTTCTTCACTAACTTTATTAGATACTGAGCTATCTAAGCTAAATTCTCCTTTATTATATGCATGTATCTTGAAACCCAAGTATAGAATTACACCTCTCTGTATCGATGATAGTGGTTTAGTGGCCAAAATTCTGAATAAATTAAAATTATGTCAAATAGCTTTAAGTAGTTGCTTCGTAAAAACTTTAAAACTTGGAAGAACCATTATGATCCTATGATCTGACTGCAGGACACAGACTATATGATCTCATTTAGTAAATCCACAATTTCCACCTGAGCATAGGCACATCTTCCGAAAGTGCCTTGTCCTAACAGAAAGCATTTGCTTGTCTGTGAGATCTGAGGGCTGCTATGTAAAGCATTTATTGGAGTTTAAAGTCTGCCTGTAATTATGGTGTCCTCTGATAGCCTTGAGTGATACAGAAGACAAGGTATATTTACATATCAATCATTATTTACTTTCCTCCTCCCCATTTTGCTGGCTACAGTTTTCCTTTTGTTTAATTATGACCTGAAGTTACACAATAGGATTCTTTTTCCTGGGATGGGAAGCCACACTTCTCATTAAGCAAGACTTTAACTCAGTGTTTTTGAGTTAAATTACACTCTTTGGTTTACAATCACTGAGAGGTGGGGGAAGAGAAGAAGAAAACCGAACTATATAATGATGTGCAAAAAAGGTATCTTACTCATTCCCTTGCTTCTTTTGGAGGGGCTTTGCGTTCAGCAGTGCTCTGGGATGAGCAGCGAGCGCTGGAACACTGCTGCTACCTACAGGTCTCATCCGCACAGTGCTCGAAATCGATACAAAATCGAGTCCTGTGACAGGTTCTCGTATTTGGGAAAGGGAACTGACACTAAAGCCTGTTGACTTTTGAGAAATGCAACCTAGTAATCTGCTCCGTGGCTAAAAGTTTGCTATTAAAAAAATTGGTGGACTTGATTTAAGGGAAGGCTGATCTCTGTTGCACAAGAGAACGGTTTATGCTTTTTTTTTTTTTTCCTTTCCTGTGATGTAGAGGAAGCTTTGCACTCTCAGGTGCAGAATAAGAGGAAGCATCTGCTCTGAGATGGGAACCTTCTCTCCCCACAACATATTGGTGCACAAAATATGATGGCGTACAGAAGGACTGCAAACTACCTTCAAGCCTGCAATGCTCAACTTTTAAGTCAATTTGTGATATAACTAGAATTCCCTAAAATTTAGTTATTGTTTGGAATTTACTCAATCTCCTCCTCAGCTTTTCCCTCTGCAACCAAGAAACTTTGATAACCACTTTTTTCTCTTTCAATAAGACAGGCAAACAAGATAACCTGAAAGAGATTAAATGAAAACTTTACTACAAACAAAGCAGCTTTCAGAACAGAGGAACAAAAATAAATCGGTCTTTCCACCACATACAAAGAAACCATGGAGAGTTTAAAAGCATTTATCATTACTTAATCAATGCTCATGGATCTCAGTATCAGGCTACCAAAGATAGTACCAGATCACAAACTTTCTGTTCGTGACAGAGGAAGGGGCAAATGGAGGAAGAGCTAACAAGGAAAAACCTCCCCCAGTGTACAATAACAGAACCAAACCAGTTCATTTGTGAAATTGGTATCTGCAACTGCATATTTTGCTATTGAGATGAATAGTCAAGCAGAAGAGAGAACATCTTGCAGTCAGAGAAAATAATAATTAGAGGCTCAAACAGCAGGAGAGTATAATCTGACATATGGAAAGTTTGTGAAGCTTTATGTGTTCAAGATGCTAGAAAAACTCTTCCAAAATTGATTAACCTAGACCATCAGGAGCAGCATCTGATGAGCCTGTTCCAAATACATCTTTGTTCCATACTGAGTGTCATGTTCATGTTACTGCTTATGAGAAAATAAATATCTGTTCTGGACTCTTTATACACAAATTCTTCTGAAAATAGCTCATTTTCACTACTGGATATTCAGTGAAAACTTCAAACAGTGTATGTGACATGAAAATACCATTCTACCTTTTTTTCCTTTAATTCACAGAAGCCCTGCCTTATCATTAAAGAAAACAAGAATAAAACTTAATAAAACAAGAATTTGCCAGAGCTATAATAATTACTGCACATGAACTATTCTGGAATACAAATAACCTCTACTATGCAGCGCATCATTTATGCATTTGGAAAGGCAGGCACTAGCTGATGCTAAAAACTTTCTTATCCACACAGTTCAGTCTGCATCTAATAGAACTTCATGCCCTGATTCAAATTATCTTTTTGACATTCTTGCACATTGATTTCCTATTTTTGGTTCCAAGAGACAATCAGTACAATCTCTTTAAAATCTACATGGAGAGGGAGGGCAAACACAATAGAAATCCGTCATCAAGCTTGCAATTGTGAGAGTAAAAGAGTTAAGGACAGCTGTCAGGAAGCTGAGAGTGCAAATATATTTAAGAAAGAAACAGAGATGGCAGCTTCAGGAAAAAAAAGAGCTGTTCCATCAGTGTAGTAACCTAAGAATACATTTATAAAGAGCAAGCAGAAGATATGTATTTTAGCTATTATCTATGCTATTTTTTCTGTCAGCTCCCATCTGCATTAGGAAAAACTGAGTTTGTAAATTGCCACTGGAACAGTACTTCAACAGCAGAAAGCAAAGGTATCATGTGAATGAAACTCAGGTTGAGTCTGATCTGAATAGTTTGACAGCTGTTGCTACCACCTGTAGAAATGTTCAGGAGTTGAATTACCTGTCTTGATTTTGCAGAACGGAGTTAGCTGGATCCGGGTGACTGGGCCATAATAATTGATAATGCAGGCTATGTACATCTCTGTGTACTCCTCATTCAGACAGCAGATGCATTTCTGAGGCCAACCATCACCAGGATGCTGAAGTTGCATACCCTGCAATGGCAGTATTTACATTCTAGAAGGCTGCATTCAAATCTTGCAAGTTACAAAAAAAGTCCAAATCCTACTCTCAAGTTTGGATGGATACAGTAATTATCAGGCTACACTTACATAAATGGCAATCAAACCTTATTTAAAGCCTAATAATAAACTCTTCACTGGGTACTTTTAGGTAGATGTGTAAGAGTTAGAGGGAAATTCATTAAAAGAGAAAAATGAAGTGAAATACTGAAATGAAGTGAAATACATGTGAAATACTTCAAGGGTACGTATTTTTATGATGTACAGTTTAAAGTAATCAGAGACATACTCATAGATGTATATGTCACAGCTTCAGGTATATTTTATAATTTTCTATTTCTGTTTACGTTAGCATTCTAAACGTGTATCTGCATAAATAAAAAAAGCACTTCCTCATTTTCATGAAATTAGCAATGACTGTGTAGCGTTGACACATGCTTACATCCTTCCTATGCCAGCAGAGACCCACCAAAAACAGAGCGCTGCCTCTTCCAGCCTTCTTAGGGGAACGGCACCTTCATCCCACTGCTTTTTTGACTGCTGCACAGGAACTGCCAGCGCTCTTCACGTTACTGCTTACGAGAATAGCAAGCATCTGTCCTGGCCTGCTTCTAAACATAAAATATCCTGGGGAAAACTTATTTCCAGTAACGGGAACCCAAAGCAAGCGTCAAAGGGCATTTGCTTGCACGCAGCTCTTACAGAGCGCGTAGGCGCATACAGAGGAGCTGCGCTCACTGCATCCTAAAACCACTTCAAATACGGACCAAGAAAACTCCCAGGTCTCACCTCTGGGCCGCGTAGGGCGCTGCAGCCCGGCTCAGGGCTGCGCAG